TTCTAAAGGAAGCAGTGTGACAACACCATTAATACTACAGTCACCTGCATGCTCCAATCCTCAAAATACTAGTATTCTATAGCATGCATAAATAATTTACATAATTTACAAGGCACTAGTATAAAATTTTATCATCAAATAGTTAAGAAAAAATGACTTGGCTATCGAATTTAATTGAATAAACAAACAATTCCTAAAATCAACCTTCTCTTTTCCAAATTCAACAAGAAATTGGAGTACAAAAACAAAAATACTTTCTACCCCTGTTGCTGCCGGAGAACAAAAATACTTTCAGAAGGTCGTTTGCCTTCAATTCCTTTTTTGCTACTGTTGATGGCGCAATTGCATCTGAAAAATTCAAGGAACCGATGATTAGAAAGAGACCCAACAAAAAAGAGAGATTTTTTTGATTTGTTTGGGTTGATAGAGCTTACCGTCCTCGGTCCCTTCTCTTCGATGGAGATGATGAATTGCAGTGGAATCGAAGGATTCGGAGGAGTGGATGGAGATGAGAGGCGATGGAGAAGGAATCGGAGAAGAGGCAAAGGCAAAGGCAAAGGGGAGGGGTTGAGAGGCGATGGAGAACAAATCGGAGAAGAGGCAAAGGCAAAAGGGGCAGGGGCAAAGGCAAAGGGGAGGGGCGGCAAAGGGGAGGGTTGAGAGGCGATGGAGAAAGAAACCGAGAAGAGGCAAAGGCAAAAGGGGCAGGGGCAAAGGCAAAGGGGGGGGCTGAGATTAATAAAACGGCGTCGTTTTGGGTTAGGACTCCAAATTTTTTTTGGGAGTCAGGACTGATGGCCACTTTCCCAATATATATATATATATATTAGTGCTATTTATATTCCTTATTTCAATGATGAATTTCTTTATGGAGTAGTGGTTACTGGCTTTGGTGGTGTTTGGATATTTGATTCTGATTACCTCTACTTGAGGCTCACTTAGTTTACTTTGACAATTTGCTGTTGCTATTTCATTTTTACTTTTACTTCAAGGATATTGCTTTTTATAGCTACAAATTGCTAATTACCTAATACAACTTACAATATGCTCTAGGGGAAAGGAAAATGTTAGTACGTAAACAAAATCAAACAAGAAAAATTAAGAAAAAATGTTATTGGCCCAAAAACAAAAGAAATGAAGGAAAGAACTGCTAATGGAAAAATACTAATTTGTATCACCTTTTTTCCACCTATTGGAACTGTCCAGAAATTCATTTGTGACTTTATTTGTGTTGAAATATTCAACTGCTCAATTTTTGCTTTCTTTTCCTAGGAAAAAATGCATAAAAGTTAACAATGATAAGGAAAGGATTAAAATTAACAATGACTTGTGCTAGCGGACATTCATCAAGTTGTGAGAGTTTTGCCACATAGTTTTAAAATGCCGGTAGTTTACCTATTGTTAAAATGTAAGTTTCAAAAATGCAAACTGAGAAATTAAATAAACATAGTTTTAAAATACTAGTAGTATTATTAATTCTTGTATTTTTCTCATTTGGTGTAGTTTACCTATTGTTAAAATGTAAGTTTCAAATATGCCCCATTTTTTAAATAATGCATCTTTTTGGAGAATTTTCTTTTCTTCGAAAACCCATGTTCTCCCTCTATCTTTGTCGTTATGTTTGTCTTGCTTGGTCCTGATGCATCTGTGCGGTAGATGAAGTGAATGTCTGTGTGCTTGGTAAGTTAAGGAGGATGACTTGAAAACCTTTCTACATTGTCATGCTTTTTTTTGGTTTCTTGTTTTTAGGTTTGATTTTTAGGTTCTAAAGTAGCTTTGAATTGGGTATTCTTCGAGTTATGGTTTTCTTGCATTGTATGTCTATTTCTTGATAACGTGATTAATATTTAGAAGGATTTTCTCATCTGGGCTTTATTTGATTTTAGGTTTTTGTGAGTTTTAGGCTTTGTCAGTTCTACAAAAGGGTAAAACTTTCTGTCAATTCTCTTGGATTTTATTAATTTTTGGATCTTGAATTCTCAGGTTTTGCTGTTTTTCTAATGGGTTTTTATTGTATATGTCGTGTGGACCATGTTCATGAATGCTACAATATCAAAAGTTTTTAAAGATGAAGCTGATTTTGGAGAACATTAGTTGGAGTTGATACTAGCAAAATCATTTTTATGGATCAAGAACAAAGACGATGGTTGTGCTTTCACATTTCAAAAAATGGGTAACTCGTCTTGCAGATTGTGTAATAGCTATTACACAACATAAAAGGAACATGAAGATTTAACCCAAACAAAAGAATCGGCTTGGTTAGGCGCCTAATCCTGAAAGTGAGGATTTGTTTAGTAAATCATATTATACTATTTTTTTAGAGTACTTTGGTTACTAAACTAGTATTAAGACTTTGATTATATATATGATACCATGATGTCTTTAGATTTTTTTTTCAATAAAAATAATTATAGAATTCTTGTTAAATGATATAGATTTCTTGGTAATTAAATTTTTTTTAAAAAGAGAGAAATAATACTTTTTTAAAGACACTGTTCTTTTCATTTTTAATGGAAAGTTAAGGTAATTGTTATTATTAATTTTTATTTTTATTTTCTTGTTTATAAAACTTAAGTGTGATATGTTTTATTTTTAATATAAAATATAAATATTTATTTATCTATTAATATAAAATTATTAATTACTAACAGTTATATTTTATAAATAAAAAATTTTCTTTGAAATAAAGCTGACGTGATGGGCAGCACTAGTGAATAGCCATGGAGGAGTCGACATAAGCTACTGTCCTTTGTCGTCATTTCCCACCATACTACTA